TTCGTAATCCGGCGACTCGCTATCTCGTCACGTTCTTGCCTCGTGGCGAACGCCTTGACGAGGATTACGACGGCTACCTCGGGATCTCCTTCTCCACCTCCTGTCTTCGGTACGATCCGGTATTGCGAGAGATTCGGTGTTGCACAAGAATGCGACATTTTTGTTCGAATGCGAATTACGATTCGGGCACTTTAAGCAAGCGCAAGTGTCGCAATAATATCGAATGAATGACTGCCGGTTTGTTTTATATACCTTTCTCGACAGAGATAATAAAATAATAAAATAAAAACGGGATAATGAAATAATGAAATAAAAAAGGGACGGTAAAATAATAAAATATAAAAAATGATAAAAGATGATGGAAAAATAATAGAATGAAAAATAAGAAAAATATTGAAAAAAAAATAGTTTTATCACTCCATTTCGCTACTCCACAAATGAAAGTAACTCATTATAATAGTTTCGAGACACGCCACGTCTACTTATCGAACGCGGAAGCTCTGAATTTACGATGATTCTCGAATGCGAGCTGATATAAATCAGTGTTTTTTTTTTTTTTTAAACATCCTGTAGAATGCCACGTGCTGTTACCACGAGATAAAAATCAACGCGGCCGAAACCGGATTACATGCGGAGCGTATATTGATAAGTCGACTTGCCAGCGAAATAAATTCGATCGGATTTTCTACGTGAACGATGGCTATTGCGAGGAATGAATTTTCCTCGAATCTGCGGATTTTCGAAAGGGATCGTAAAACTGATTTCCGTTTTCTTCGAGTTCTTCCTCTCGCATGGGCGATCTTACGTCGCGTCGAAAATGAATTTCAGCCACATTTGATCTATAACAAGCTCTCTTATACGTTTCTTCTCTCAATCAAGCGACGCATTCTGGACAGGATTTAATAGCGTATCGCTATTATACCATAATGACGTTTGATATCGCGCAACCGGTTCTCTTAACCTACTGTCCTAATTCAGCCTTGGCTATCTCGTCGTTTTCCTGTGCGACGACATCATTTATTTTTCAGGATCATTATAACTTTCTACGATGCATCGGACATTGTTCTCCGCTTTCCTTTTAATGGAAAATGCTTAAACAGAAAAGAATAATAATTGTTTCGATCAATCATTTAAGCAATGTCGAGGAATTGTTGCTTTATGATTTGAGAAATAGAAAAGTAGGTAAAATAGGTTGAAAATATTCCATATTGTTTCTTAGTTTTGATTCAAGATTTTCAAATTTTTGATATATTAGTGTCAAATTATTTCAGCGGAAAAATTAAAAAGTAAACAAAATAACAAAAAGTTAACGCCGGATTTGTGTTTTCAAACAATTTGTTTCGTAGTATATCTTTGTGATCAGGCTTTAATTAAGATTCCTCTATTAAATTTCATCTGAAATGAATTGGAGAATATAATTTTGTAATATTAATCTTTTAATCTTGTAATCTTTTAATTTCACAAAGTTTAATTTGCGAATAGCGCTTCTGTTTAATCACTTATAATTCAGAAATTATTAATGTCATGAACATTTTCGCGAAAAAGAATTGTTTTCAAATGAGCCAGACAATCTTCTAAAGGAACATTTAATATTTAATAATTTTGGGACAGCTTGTATATATTTAAGAATATTACAGTTTAAAAATCTTTCTCTTAAAAATACAATTATAATTTTAAGAAAAAATTTTTTTTTTTTCATTTTTAATATATATTTTTAATTAATCAAATAAATTTATTGATACGTGTATTTTATACTATATATTACATATATAATTTTATATTATATAACATTTGTCGCAAAGTCGAGACCAAGCATTGTCACGTGCAAACAATATGCTTCTACATGTCTATATATATTTTTATCAGCTGTTATCAAGATATGTCATTGCAGTATGTCACTCTTATTATCCTTCTTCATACTAATATTTCAAGTTGAGTTGCTCTACTAACATTGTAGAAAATGAAGGTTGCTCTTCTCTGTTACCTTGTGTTATTATGCTTCAAGTTATACAATGTTTATCGGCATGCAAGCAATTACTATATATATAACACATATACATATATGTACACATACTTGTAATATTCGTCTAACTTTAATAAACAGAGATCGCATTTAATCGATTTTTCATTCCAATAAAAATTATGGAACAACATTTAATATTGATTGACACACTCAGATAATATTACTATACTACCACAAATTTGCTAAACCGCGTAATATCATTTGTGGATCGCGTAAGTACTCTATGACAATTATTGTTTGTCATGTGAAGCGTTATTAATTATTCAATATATTTTATTTTTTTCATTTTTTTGTTTATAAAATACATTTTCTTAAATATATATTTTTACTTTTTATTATACCCAGGATATATATGTACACTTTTTTTATTCCGAAAAAAGAGAATGACATGCCGTTTATTTCTGTTTTTGTTTAAATCGTTTGCAATGTAAAACCATGATATTATAAACTAAATCGTTTACTGCTACGCGCATGTATAAAACGTTTAATTGACGTCACACTTGCGAAGATATTTTTAGCTTCTTGTCACAGCGACTGTTTAGAAAAAAGAGAAACAATTTTTTTTTCAAATTATCATCGCGATCAAAGTATATTTCTTCGAGATTATTTGCATTTTTCCATTGTGGCCTGATATACATACATATAATATACCTTCGTATACATTCGTTTTCTTTCTTTCTTTCCTTTTTACTGATTACCATCTGCTGACATTAGCTATCGACATTCCGACCCTCTTGTAACTAAGGGGTTGCGATGATATTTACGATAAGGCGGCTCTTCAGGGCTACGTGGGCGCCATAGACTTTGTGGGCGTTGGGCAAGTTGGTTTATTTTAAACCCATGTCATCACGCATTATTCGGTACGCCATGAGTCAATATCGACCTCCGCCTCGGATCGCTCTCTTTATACTCGCTCATTTAGATACTATACCCGTAAGATGAATGTGGAAGGGGAAGCAAGGACGATTTATTCGAATATATTATCATAAATTTCACGGTCGCGAATTTTGCAAAATTTTCCAACAGTTTTCCCCACCTATACTGGTTATAATTGTGTAAGAATGTTTACTGTTTGGTGATTAATTGTTACATAATGTGCCATTTATCGTCGAATTATTTTATCATTTTTTATTCACGATGCACTTTCAATTATTCGCGCATATATATATATATGCAGATATGACATTATCTATCCATCGATCAATTTATCATGTACAGTCGGGGATAGGAGGATAACTCTGTGCCGCTCCTAGTTTAAATCAAATTGGTGATATTTTAAAGCACATGTCGCGATACCTAGAAATTATTGATACGTGTGTACGTTTGTACGCAATTCAAGTTTCTATATATATGTCGTCGAACGAATCAACTGCGTATGTTACGGATATGTCAACGACAAAATGTCAACTGGGCACGATTTCATTCGTAAACCGTGTACAATCAATAGTAATAACGTTACTATCGTCTGATGCGTGTTGCGAAGTTCGAATTATAGCCGCGGCTATATACAATTAGTAGTCGACGAAATTCGAACTCATCCCGCAACAATTCCACCTGCGGAAATTGTTATCGATCCTGCATGTGTCGTCCATGTTCACCCTTTGCTGGATTCCGATATGTACACGAAGGGAATTTTCTCTTAGAATTTATTCCTGAAAATTACACGGGAATCGTGAGCTAATATAATCGTATGGGTTTCTCTAATTAATATTTACACAGTAAACAATATTAATAATATACATATGTACGTAGTAAAATTAATCGAATATATCTTATATCTTATTGTGGTAAATATTAATATTTTTATTGTGATAAATATTTAGTCAAAAAAACTCTTAAATAAATTTCTTCCAGTAACATTTACCATGATTTTCGAACATATTTTATATTTTATTGTGATAGATATTAAATATTTTTATTGTGGTAAATATTTCATCAGAGAAACTCTTAAATAAATTTCTTCCAATAACATTTTGTCCCACGATTACCATGATTTTCAGGATAAATTCTAAGAGAAAATTCTCTCTGTGTAGGGAAACGCGTCCCTTAAGCACTCTTACCGGAAGTAAGAAACGTCGAATATTAATATTTACGTTTCATTAATAAGCTATGTCGGTCAAGGCCCCGGCGGTGTCATTTTGGGTCATGATTCATAAACGTTCTCCTGTTCCCAACGCCAACTGAAAATGCTGATCGTGCGACATTATGCATATGCGCCAATTTGCCTTAATTTGCATTAGACGGTGTGTTCTTTTTTTCTCTTCTTGTTTGTACCGCGCACACATACTTTTCGCGAGTTGAAATGAGTCGCCACATACAGATCATCCGCACCCTCGAGAAATGCAGAGCGTTATTAAAATGATGGAGAGTCGTCGGAGATGCTTTGCATGCTTCTTATTTCGACGATAAAAATTTTCGGAACGTTCATTTTTCTATCCTAGTCACTGGCGAAGAGACAAACTCCTCGGTCTTTTTACGCTTTCGAATAACGTTACTTTGCACATTTCCCTCAAGTATATGGGTTACCCTAAAACACATTTCCCCTCAAGTGTACGAGCTGTTCCATATAGAACGTTTCCTTTTAGCTATAGATCCTTTCATTCGAATACGTAATTTATTTTCTCTGAGTGACGACGATTTTCTGGCAAAAAGAATCGAAAAAAGTGAAGAATTTTTAATCCTAATTTTAAAAATCGAGGAAAAGACAGAGTAAGACTTTAGATAAACAAATTATTTATGATAATTTATATTGAAACTTGAAGAAGCTGTTGTAGCTAACGATATAATAGCGTTAAAATAATGAATATTATAAAAGAAGGAACAAAAGAAAGAGTATCTTTCAGCAATTAGTTAGACTAGGTTCTTTAAGCACTAAGTACTTCAGGTGAAAGTATATTATTGTCTGATGCAATATGCTAAATAGCGCTCGCAGATATCAATCTCAAGTTTTACCCGTAACGTTTTCTATCTTCCGCAGAGAGGAAGTGCAGGAGCATACAGTGAGATGGAACGCGAAGTTCGACTTTCTATGCAAGATGAGCGCCAATGCATCCACGGGCGTGCTCGATCCATGCATTTTAAGGATATCCGTGAGAAAGGTGAGAGCAAACTTACTTTCTGTTTGAGCTGAATAGATGAGCAACTCTGGGCAACTCTCGAGGAGTACCGAGCCTGAAGAAAGAGATAGATATGGTTCTCACTTTTTATTTCATCGCCAACATTTTACTCTTCATCTGCTCTCTCTTTCTCGTGCGCAGAAGATAAGAACTCGTGACGAAAGAACGCTGCGAAATAATATCACGATCTCCTTCGATCTTGTGTCTGTTACTTCGTTTTATATGTGTACCAAAAGAATTATATTAAAACGAATCGTGAATTTTATCCAGAGATACTGAGACTTTGATACTTGAGTATTGAACGATTCCTTATTTCATCAATTCGAACGAATACGAATATGAAATTCCTTCTTTGAAACTTTAAGCTTTGAAGAGAATATTTGAATTTATCGGAGATTGTATTTTTGCGAAACTTGGATTGTGCTCTCATATATTCAGGAGCACCGTGTTTCATTATAAAAATAATTTTCAGAAGACTAATTAAACGTCACTCTTTTTTTTCAATCTTTTTAATCTTTTTCGTACTGCAGGAATTGAAAGGGGGCAGATCCTTCCAGAAACTGGGTTTTACCGATCTGAACCTGGCCGAATTCGCAGGAGCTGGTCTCTGCCGAAGAAGATGCCTTCTGGAAGGCTACGATGCGCGACATCGTCAGGATAATTCCATGCTACGCGTAGCCATCAAGATGAATATGCTCTCCGGAGATATTCTGTTCAAAGTGTAAGAGGCAATTTGTCTATCCGAGGAAGCGGTTTGCCTAAAATTTTCGGAGGCTTACGCGAAGATTAATGTTTCAAAGAGATTCTTGAGGATCTATGTTATAACATATGTGTCGTACCTTCAATCTGTTACATCCTTTTATAAATATTAACTTTTTTTATAAATATTAAATTATCGAAAGTTCTTTAAATTAAATATATTTTTGAATTAATCTAACACAGTTTTTTTTTATACTAAACGAAATTATTTCTAATCTACAAATAAAAAAGGCAATAAGAGCTACATGAGTTCTATACTAGAAATATATTTGTGAAACGACGAATTGAACTTACTTCTGTATAATTTTTAATAATTTATGTTATAAATCGTTTCACAAATATATTTCTAGTATAGAACTCATGTAGCTCTTATTGCCTTTTTTATTTGTAGATTAAAATTTTCTAAAGAGCTTTTATAAATTATATGAAATTATTTCTGATTTGAAAATTTCTCTTGTCTCATCTGTAGTGCAGAATCCTTTTGGTTAACCGATCGATTATTATATCCCCCAGCCCTTCCCCGTCGTTAAAGCAGACGCAGCTGGCGGTACCCGGAGTGCAAGGTGTACCTGGCGTTACCGGTGACGAGGTGACAGCATCCGAGAGATGCACTAATCGGGAGGATTACGTGTCTACCGGCTCGCTGGCAGGAAGTATAGCTAGCGCCAGTAGCGGTTTCGGTAGTCTTCCCAAAAAGAGGCCCGCACTCTTCTCCTCCGGTATTTTGCCCTTTTTTTCTTTACATTATCTATAAATTATCTGCAAATTATTTTAAAAACTTTTTAATATTACACACACATGCGTGATACATTCATATATGTATATAATTTTGTATAAAGCTTTAAAGAAATTAGATATCTGAAATGAGAGGAGTGAATTTTCGAAGAGAGGAAGAGCAAAAGGGCAAATCTTTTGAATAATTCGTATGTGATCTAGAACTTCTTAGCGGAACGGAGACGTACGACCCGATGACTCTCAGCGAAATCGTACCCTCAGCGATTCCAGTGGAAGCTCTCGTGGAAGCGCACACGGAATCGGGTCACTCGCGCAACAGCAGCAACACCAGTCAACTTAGCAAAGGGTCTGGCTACGGTTCTTTGAACTCGCATAGTCAACACAGCAGACAAAGCAGCAGCGGTGACAGCGGTCACATTAGGTAAGTCTTATCGCGCGTCTCAATGACATTACGCGCTCTCTTACTTCATAGTTTTGATATCTCTTCGCGTTTTATCTGGCATACATTGAATAGACCGATTTATTATAGGAAGGTTTATATATCTCGAGAGAAGAATTTCTATCGAAAAAAAATGTTGAGTGTGATCAAAAACGTCCAGAGTCCTTCTAGCTTTTTTCATTAACAAAAAAAACTTTATTTCTTCATTTTTAATGTCTAATTATGTTTAATTAAGACACGACGCTGTGTAGAAATTTAGTTAGCTATCGAAATATCTTTGAAAATATATCGATTCAGTACGCCACATTTTTTTCTTTCTAATCTACTTATAAATTGTTTGATTTTACTGTTTCTGTGTAACAACAGCAATGTAAGCATGAATTTAAAAACAAAAAGGTTTAAAATACTGCACGAAAGAACATGACTGTTTTTTTTTTGCAAATGATTGAACAAATGATAGATATATTTTATTCATCATTTTATTACAACAAACTAATTTCTTTTTTAAATATGTAACGCGAGACATTTGGCTTTATTAACAAAACATTTGAGCTATAGCCACCATACTATATCTTGCTTTGAATATTACAATATATTTTGATTTGAACAAAATATCTTGTGTTTGAGTCTTTAACATCAATTTTTTATATGCAATCTAATCAACAAAACTTGCTCATTGATGCATTTTTGAATTATTTTATGCTTTTAAATTAATAATAACACGTTGAGAATTGTATCTAACAATATGAACAGTCTGACTAAATCACTAACCAAGAGAGCGGATCAATGATGCGAGAAAATCTTCTGTTTTTGCTTCAGCCTCAGGCGACTTCCTCATTCTCAATCTCTCGACTCTAACTACGAAACTCTGGACTTTCTGTCTTTTTTTTACTTTACGTATGTCTTTTCTTTTTTTTCTTTACTTATCTATCTTATCTGATGAGTTTATGATTTTTGCATGCTTGTACATTTGTTTGTGATCTTTATAGGTCACCCTCCTGGCCGGTATGGGCACCACGAATTCCCAACTCCTTCCAGAACACGTCCGCACAACCGATCGAGCGTCGACCCGATCCCTGTATCGAATCCTCGTCGTCGCCGAACCCGTCCTCCTTGTCGCACGCGGTCTCCAGAACTCGATTCTGGTCAGACTCGAGTCCGCTCACCTCGCGTAGCGGCCTGACAGATATGGAAAACGTGTCGTTGACCGCCGGGATTATCGCGAACCACGTTTATTCAGTCGGAAAGCAGCAGCCGCTTTACGCGATCGGGAACGGTTTCTTGAACAACATGAGCAATTCGCGAGCGAACAACGATCGCGAGAACGATGCGGACGTCCTAGTGGCGTCCGGTGTCTTCAGGATGCCCGACGTGCCGCGACACTCGCGCAAGAATTACGAGAGGGCCGGCTTCGAGTTGCGGAACGAGCGTAACGCGATGATGAGCTCGATCGCGAAGGAGAACGACCGGCAGCAGAATAACGTCTTCCCGATCGCGAAGCCGAGAATCAGCGCCACGGGCTGGCGCGGTATGTCCAAGACCTGCGACTGCATCGAGAAGGGCAAAACGAGCCCGGTCTTGCGACTGGTCGATCAGGCCAGAGCCGTGTCCTCTCCCGATCCTCTCCATAGGCCCGACAATCAAAGAGCCTTGCTACGTCCCGCGATGACAGCTCAGACCCTCAGGTAGGTTTCATTTTTTCAAGTCTCGAGTTTTCACTCGGAATTTTTGCGAGACGACCTCTTCGCAGCGTCTTCATCTCTCTCTCTCTCTCTCTTTCTTTTTCTTTCTTCCGGTTTCCCTCGGCAATTCTTTGTCTGTCCCCAGTTCCAAGAACCTCGATTCCACATGTCGAATTGTTGATGTCTTCTCTGGTTGAGAGAGACCGCGGAGGAGATATATATTTCCGCGTACGTTTGTGAGCAGTGCTTGAAGTTGCGTTGCATTTTAAATGCCTTGCGTTAAATCGCCTCTATTCGAAGGTGAGGTCATCTCACTTACAAATCGTTAACGACGATTGTATGTCCGGCATGCCAGAGTAATTGGTGATTCCGACTCCTGACGAGCAAGCTGGTGCTCGAAGCAACCAATTCCTTCGGCGTTTCTCTTCCCTGCGCAACACATTTTCTCGAGAAAGTTACAAGTATATTCAAGTTACATTTGCAAATCCCGCTTTATCAGCCACCTGATTTGTCTTTTTATTGTCTTGGTCTTTCTTTTTTTATTTCCATTTGATTTCGTTTAATTTTGTTCAGAGAGTAGAATACAAATGTGTGTGTGTGTTTGAAATAAATTAAATAATAATAATTCGATAGCAAGTAGTTGAATGACGGGGTTCATTAAATACTCGTAATTATTTTTGTTTAAATCTCTCGCAAGGAATTAACGTCATTATATATGACCGATTTGATTTAATTTTATTGGAAATTGTAATATTCATCAAAAATAACATGGCTCAACATGTAATAAAAGAATATAAAGTATATATATCAAATTTTAGGCGTACGCAGTATAATAAAAATTGATAACTTGCCAGATAGATTTTGATGTCGCTTCATTATTGTCTAGTTTTTATATTATACGAATTAAAATTACTCATATTTCATTAATCATGAAAATAATGCTCAAGCATCTATCATTCTTGTGCCTTTGGTGTAAGCTAAATTATATATGCCGCTTATTACATAGCGGTTTTCTAGATAGGAGAAATTATTTAGTGTTGCAGTAAGACGAAACGTGTAGCGCATAGACAAAAAAATTGTAAGATCAAAGGATGAGTGTCATTGAAAAAGTTGATTATCATTCTTATTAATATGTAATATAAATATATTTTGTCTATATATTTTCTAAAAATTTGCCATAACAATCTTTAATATTATTGTCTCATTTATCACGTTGTCGAAATTCTGAGACTCATCCAAGCAAATCCTTAACTATTATATGCGATGAAATCAAATCTAAGTATAGATATGTTCTAAAAATGAAAAAAATTTCCGAAATTAATTGAAGAAATAATTAATTCTCAATTTTTCCTGAATCTTTATTTCGGATAATTTTTTTTCAAATTATTATAAAAAGAAATAATTCAAACATAGAATTGAGAATGCATTTCATCAAGTGTTAACACAACTTACAATTTGAATAATGTAAAATAATTAGAATCATATGTTATCGAAATTCTGCCGTTCTAGTTAAGGAACGATTGTCTATGCGCGTGCAAAAAAAAATAAAGAAGTGCTAAAAAAAGAGCGCGTACGCGGCGGCTATGCTTCCAGTTTGGATGGCTTTGTGAATCCTTGCAGGGGTATTGGCGGAGGTCACCGGAAGTTGCTGGACGGGGCGGGGGGCAAGCTGGCTACGGTCGCCACCAGTCCAGCGGACTCCGAAGAGTCCTCATTAGGGGTACCGGAAGTCGCTCCACCGACCTCGCAGCATCGAAACAGCATTACCCCACCGTCAGTCCATGCTTTCGTCTTACGTATATCCCCCTTTTCCCCTCTTGCACATATGTACAGCTCGCTTTTTATCACCGCAGAAATGTAAAAGCTCTCATTATCATCGCATCGTGCTTAGCATTTGTCCCAACGCTTGTAAAAACCGTTTAATCTTAACGATTGGTGCATGTAAAGATATTTTGTATTACACGTGCAGGCAAAGTGGCACTTTGTGTACGTGTTTTCTGTGCGGAAAGCGGCCGATTTCCCACGCCGCCATCTAGCGGCGACGCGGTGAGTGAGCCGCATTCAAAGCCATTGCCCACGGTGTGCGATCGGCCACCTCGCGCACAGAAAACGCGCACAAAGCCACTTTGCCTGCACTTGTAATACAAAATAGTATGTGTATCACGTGCGGATTGACAATTGTTCACGAGTGTGTGAGGTGGTCGCACTCGTGACCAATTGTTAACTTTCCGCACTTGATACACAACATACTATTTACTGCTCCTTCCTCTTCTTTTCAAGATTGCAAAATTAGCTTCAAACTGTAGCTTACATGGTTAAATTACATGTCATTAAGTTTAGGCCAACTTATCAAATTAACATATACATACATATATGTCTTTATTTTAATAAGAAATTGAGGGTGCAGATCAAATATGATCAGATCAGCGCGGAAAAAATATTAGATCTCATGGATAACTTCTAGAATTTAATTTCGCGTACATGTAACTTTACAACATCCGTATTATAGACATGCAATGAAGGAATTTTGCCTCTTCTGGATCACCGCGTGAAACATTTCACGGGAAAGAGACCGTGGCCGCGAATTGTTTGTTTTAATCGCATGTTCGGGATGAAAGTGTGATGAAGTGAGCCTTGAACTGACCAGTCAGAATTTCCGAGAACGGACGGATCTTAATGAGGCTTAAGTGCTCTCCACGTTCGCTGCGGGCGAGCTTTAACGAACGAAATCTAATTTCACCGCGCTTAAAACGAGATGATTTACATTTTGCGGAAGAGGAAGGGGTTTTGCGCGCACATCAATGGGACCCGTTGTTGAAAATTTGCCTTTCCTCGAAAAGAAGTCGGTCCCACAGGGACGACTCGCTTTGATGTTTCAGCGGGTCCATGAACTTCTTGTTCATTATTCGTATAATCAATTTGAAAAAACTCCTGGCTACATGACTTATCGTATGCTAGAAACGCATGCAAGAGACGCATGCTTATGTGAAACTCATAGAAACTCGATTCATGCATCACACACGCACTCTTTCAACTTTGTATTTTATAGAAATAGTATTTATCGTGAATTTATCTTGTTTATATAGATTTTTCTGTTATTTTTATTTACCGTGCTAAAATAATCTCGACGGTACAGCTTTTGGAATCAGTCTGGAAATTAATTTTCTTTAGTAAAATTTTAGTAAAATAATTTTTGACATGTGTATATAAGCACAAAATAGCAAAATTATAAATCATATAAATTTCAGGCATATTTGATTTTTATTTTCAGAAATGTATAATAAATAGATATCAAAATTATTTCTCAATAAAATTTAAGTAGAGAGTTTTTGTTTTTATTTTATTTTTTTATATCCAATTATAGATATTTAATATTACAAATTAAGAAATTCAGCAAGTAATTATTTCATGCAAAATAGTCCTTGTAATATTTATTCTCAATATACATAATTTATTTATAAATTATTTAAAAAAATGATATATCACAATTTAAATTGATTTAAACAAATCTGAAATTAATCTGACAATTCTTATATGCTTTTGCTTTTATCCCCAGAGAGCTTTTTCTACGGCAGATCGATAATATCTTCTTCTCCTCTTCTTCGCTAAGAAAATAATTCTATTAGTTTTATCTCTCTCACTCTAATTATATCGAGTTAGCACTTGATGCATTTATGATAATCATCTCTTTTTCTCTCTCTTTCTTTATTTGTTTCTGCAATCTCTTTCTCTCGCTTAATTAATGTTCTTTCTTCCGACTTTTGCGCGGATATTTAATCGTCACACACGGGCGAGAATCGTCTCCCTTATATATAAATTGACTTTGATTATCCCCTCACTCAACGAAAACGCATTTATCTTTTTGTATAAGTTTATCGAACACTCATGTTGCACCGTGACGTTTCTCATTCGAACTTATCGAATTAATGTATACTCTCGCTGAACATTCACCTCTTTAATCAGACAGATCCGAGCACATTGGCATGGAATCTATCGTTTCGCGTATCTCTTTAAAATTCTGAAAATATGTTTCAACTACGCAATTATTTGCTAATCACTTCTCTGACATTTTATAATTTATATCGTTGTAAATGTTAAACTGTATATAATATTACTTTACGACGAAGTTGAAGAAACGCGTTGAAGATGTTCTAAACAAATTTATTCGTTATATTAAAATTAGGAACTCGACGAGGAGAAGAACAATCGCTGAAATCTTGTCTTCGCGCAAGATTTGATGGATCATTTCATTAAACGTGCAACGCGCAAGTAACGTAATTACAGTTTATTTCTACCGCAAGGAAACGAAAGATTAATTTCGCTGTAGCGGAAGATTCAAGCTTCTTCCTGAATATGCGCGTCAATTTTTTATAATCTCTATAATGAGCAATAAGAGGGAAGTAAAATTAAGTGTTGTAAACCCCTCTCGGATTCAGTACACATTTATCTCCTGATATTATTGGTATTATTTTATTTCTACCATCTATGCCAAAGTGTTCGCGATTCGATATGAGAGATGTGTCGCATAATAAGCAAATATGAAGATAATTGCTTGGGATAATCATGATCTAATTAATTCGCAGAAATCCCTCCGGCGGTTCGGGTCTCAGCGAAACTGGATCCCTGGATCGTGCTAAGGCAGCGCTGGAACGTAGGAAAAAGGCGGAGGACGGTACTGGTAATCCTATCCTCTGTAGAGTTGAAGTCACCAGGCCGAATCCTGACTCTCTCATCGACGAGCTGCTTAAAGCGACGAATCTGGAGCAGACGGATCTCGAAAGTTCCGAGAGTACGCATTTCCACATTTTTATAACACTTATATACACTGTAAAAAAATAGGTAAAATTACAATTATTATTTATGTATATTACATATTTTTTTAGGATTAGGATTTAGTAGGATAGAACAAAAATTTCTTGTTTTTTTCTTCTATCTATATTATATATGTATTGTATTATACACGGAGGGAATTTTCTCTTAGAATTTACCTTGAAAATCATGGTAATCGTGGGATAATATGGTGTTGGAAGAATTTTAGGAGTTTCTCTGATTAATATTTATCACAATAAAAGATATTAATATGTACACAGTAAAATTAATGGAGTACATTTTATATCTTATTGTGGTAGATATCAATATTTTTATTGTGGTAAATATTAATCAACAAACTCTTATAAAATTCGTTCAATACCATATTGTCCCACGATTATCATGATTTTCAGGGTAAATTTTAAGAGAAAATTCTCTCTGTGTAGTAAACGATTTCTATAAAATTTTTAAGATTATAAATGTTGCAATAAAATTTAAAAAAAAAAATTATTTTTACAGCAACCGGTCTTCAACTCTTTATCGCGAAAGACGGGACGACCGCTCTTGGCAGCCACGAGGTGAAGAGCCAAATGCCTGCCGGAGTGTTCAAACAGGTGGTGATGGAGGAGAACAATAGGTAACACGAAGCCATCACTACGAGACGGCAATACCCAAGACAGACCAGCACCACGTTCTCGTTGGCCCTGGTGCCGGAGCTCGTCTACGAGACCTACGAGCCACGGTAGTCATAAGGGAGAGGACGACGATGATGTCGACGACGGACGGGAGATCGTCGACTCGGAAGAAACAGCCAAACGCGATCGTATTCTCAAGATTGTGTGCCGGATTATTCTCTTATTAGATCGTTTTAAATTATTACAAAAGATAAGAAGAAGGAAGAAACACGCATCGACGAATTTTTTCGTGAATCGAACTGATATCCTTCAGAAGAAACACGTTCGTTCCCTTATTTTGTACGAAATCCATTGGATGGATTCGCGGAAGACCGAGGCTAACGCTAATCGTTTCGTGAGCGCACGTGAATAATTATTAATAATAATAATCAGGCGGCTCGCGAGATATCGTTTACGTGCGTTTCAATATTCGGCCGGCTCGAAGAAAACATTTATACAAGGATTTCGAATTTTCCCAGAATCCCGAAACGAAATTGCACGCTTGCAGCTATCCGTAATGTCAGCCGTGCGTGCGAAACAGTTAAGGACGATGACAAACACTGGTTGTTTGTAACATCGAACGAAATAGTCGCACGTTTCCGAAACTAATTAAAAAACAAATACATATACATATTTTCTTCCTTGTGAAACGAAGCACAATGATCCTTGTCAAGTGTGTTTCACGCTTGACAGGAGCGTTAGTCAATAAAGTTTAACCAAGAAGGAGTTACAGTGTAGTAAAGAACTAGTTATTAAAAAAAAAAAAAAAGAAATAACGACAGGCTAAATATGGTCGAGGTCCGACGAAACTTTGCGATGGAAAATAACATCTATAGACAAAACTTAAGCACCAATTTGATTCCATCTATAGCTATGCGACGACATCTTGTCACATGTGTGCAGTGTAAAGTCAAAAAGATAAGCATGAAGAAACATTAAATTGAGAGATATTATCTGTATCGTATGGTTACATTGTGTAGTGAAAAGTATTTTCAACAGCATTTTCAACAATATTAGTCTAACGAAGAATGTCCGGTTGGTTTTGCTGATACCTCTTTTGAGAATTAATATTTTACAATTTCTCTGCATTAAAATGTATTTTTGTTTTCCAATGTACAGTATAGAGTTTTTTTAAAATCTTCTCTGATTAGTTTCTGTTGCGCTCTTTCCTTATTTTTTTACGAAGTTACTGCGTGTAATTAATTAATTAAATAAACGTTCGAGTGACGAGCCGAAAGATGAAACTTTAACTGAGCTGAAGTAAACGAAGCAGTCAGTCAAAGAGACTAATGTAAATTTATAATTTTTCAGATATTATGCAATGTATATATATACATATTTGTGAACTTACAAAGTAGATTTACAAAAAGTAGATTTATAATCTCTGTATGATATATTGCTTTCAAATATCTTTGCTTTGAGAAAATAGGGCACAGTGTTATGATCCTTCCTGAAACATTTTGTGGATTTTAGTAGATTTCTAAACTCTATTCTTTGGTGGAAATATATAAACTTGGAGACATTTTTTTCTGTATAAATGTTTCACGACTGAATATATTTTACGTACCATTATTTTATTATCGTGTTCGACGAAGGATGTGGATCTTCGTTTCGTCGAACCTTCTCCAAAGGCCCGGTGAATTTTTCGATTGGCACGTGACCGGCTCTACCCAGTAGAGTAATCTGTATATATAGCCGTAGTAACTGTTATGTAGCTAAATCGCTGATGTTATATACATGCATTCTCTCCGTATTCGAATAATCTATAAGTGCTACTGTATATTGCGCTGATGTATCAAAAAGTATGCAAAAACACGTGTTGCGTGCATGCGAGTGTGCGTATGTGTATGCATGTTTGCGTGTGTCGCTTTGGGGGAGTTTTTCGTATGTCTTACAGAATGAGAGAAATTGTGAAAGGCGTGTGTCTGAATTGGTTTAACAGAATAGCGAGTACTTCCAGCGTCCGCAAGGTCCGTTTCGCAAATTAGTCTGAGTGTTTCGGTCTTTGCGGTTCGTCGCAGAGAGAAAAAAAGAAAGAGAATTAAGGCTTCTGGGTCCTCACAAACCCAGATATTAGAATTGTCATGTTAGAGGCGACAAAGCACACGCTAAAAATTCTTGCGCGCCATTTTTAGATGAAAAGATATTTCGATGAAATACTATTAAAATACCTCGAAAACTATTCTTTTCTTTTGATAGTCAATCAACAGCCGTAAAATAATCGCAATATCAGACTTTGTCATGCGGAATGACATATTGGGCCTCATATTACAATCATGTTACAACTGTAGATTGATCATAAAGGGGAAAGTTAAGAGTGTGCTAAAGCTAATCTGAAGTGCTGTTTCGAAATATCTTGTTATTTCGAAATGACAGCTAAGATTTTTAGCGTGTGTTTTCTCGCCTCTGACGTCACAATTCCAATACGGTAAGCGAGGAGTCAGAAACTTTTAACGCGGAGATGTAAAATTGTATGCACAAACGCTTCTTCGGAACGCTCTAAAGCCATTTGCAGGTACGGTTTTTCGGTATCGATCTTGAACACGCTTGAACAGGCGACGAGCGATTTCCTTCCGAGAATTTTCAAAGTGTTTTCCGATTTCAGGATTTCAAGATCGAGTTCATTAATTGCGCCAGTCTCGAAGAGACTGTAGAAGCGATGATGATATTTGTCGAACTATCTGGCGATTCAGATTCGTGTACCCGATCGTAAATCACACGTTTGATAAAATGAGCGGCCATTACACGCTGTAATGTTGCTGTTTTTCTTATAGATAGATCGATACGTTCCTTCCCGTTGCTGCGTTTTCTCTTCTTCTCTTTTTTTATGTGCGTATATTTCTTCTTATAAATAATATCCGAGTGCCGTTCGATACCACTTTAAATTTTATACAATTACGTCTGTATCATGTCACTCGCGAGTGACTTCCGAGTTAACTTTTTACTGCTATGGTGGGATCAAGTCCGATATTTTAATATATTTTGCAAAATAACAGAAAAAATTGTATTTTTAAAAAGAAAGGACGTAGTATAATTTTTCTTTATTATTAATATGTCTCAAAATATATAATTATATATTATTTTGTATTTTTTGTTCAATTTTTTTTTGTTATATAAAAATAATTCGCATATGATTTAAATTGTCAAATTCGTGAAATTGAAACAAGATCACTCATTACGTAAAGATTGATCCCACCAGTAGTAGTAATTGCATTATTCATATTCAATCATAGTGATTGCGAGTTAAAAACCGAGTCGATCCGCAAGCTTCCGTATGGACGCGCTACTTTTTCATTCGATATATGCCGTATAGAGCCTTTTATTTATAAGATACGCGCCATAACAGGACGATTACGGTTTCTCCGCATTGCGTGTTGCATTCGCCGATTGACGTTAATTAATTTATCGAGCGGGGTTTCTCTCGCGAAGGGGAACCAACTTCGCGCGCAAATTTTACTCCCGAGTGAGAAACACACTATAATTCCTCATTTTTGTACGTCGTACTACGTTAAGACAAGGAGCATCTAGGTAGGATATAAATCTTTTTTTTTTATATTGCCACCTCGGAGATAGTCGCGACGAGAAGTGAAACCGTAAATAATAAAATGGCGATATGTGAGAAATTCGTATCCCCGTTTTCTCGTTCGCCGAAAAATTTCAAGATTCGCAGAAACCACGATCGGAGATCGTTCATTTCATTCGCTCGGCAGATATTAATGTTGTGATATTTTACACGATACTGTAAGAATAGAGAATACCGTTATTACCTGTATTATTATCGATATATATTGTATTATAACAAAAATAATTTACTTTTATTTTAGAGACGGCCACATCATACATACACACACACACACACACACATAAACAAAAAAGTCAGCGGTTGTGCTTCCGCGGATCGCGTGCGAGGCCGTCTTCCCTGATTTACAATTGTTGATATTTCATCTAATCTTTACTTTGTGAGATGAATACGAAACTTCCATGTGCTGATAATAACATTCTGGAAACCACTCTTGTCTCGGTTATTGAAGAACCTTCTCTCTCGCACATTTGCGGCAAACATATATGTAAATTATATTAATATAATAATTTATATTATATATGTATATATAATTTACATTAAACATTTTTTTACTTTTTATATGAGAAAAACAGATATTTTATATCGGCATTCTGTTGAATTATTTTATTCTCGATCCATCATTGACACGTATTAATAATGTTTAAAGATAAATTTTACAAAAATAAGAATTTGATGTATTTATGTTTATGTGCAAATGCATGCAAATGTGAATTAAAAAAATGATGATTGATAAATTTCCCAATACGTACGTATAATAAACACGTGTACATGCTTTCGATACACTTTATATAATTTTGAAAATCCAAAGAAGAAAAGAGCATAATTTCATTATTGTTACATGACTTTACGCAATCAAGATCGCTCGAAGTTTGAAATATTCCTCGATGTAACGATAATTAGTATTTACGTTCTAGAAGAAAGTTTCCGACCACTGAGTTTGGAAGAAGTTTTATTTCTCTTCGAACTACAAAATAAAAAAAATTTCATATATATATATTTTTTTTTTTACAAAACTACAAACTTATTGTGCCGATTTTATTTGAGGAGGCAAAATTCGCTTCGACGAATGTTTTCTTGTCGGACCAGCTTGGCTTTTTTTTTTTTTACGTGAGCACGCGATCAAAACGGAAGAATGGACGATGGCCTAGACAACTAGAAAAGAGTCATTACACTTTCTCTGCAGTATAGACACAGATCTATACGTTGACGTAATACATCCGCCAAAGACACGCGCTATATTATGCGCCGTGTTATGCGAACGCTTTCACGATGTAATTTTCGCCGCTGCACTTACACCGGTGCGAAAAACAGATGCTATTTAATTATCCTAACTAAAGGAATTGTGCGAGCTTGTGCTGATTATGGTTTTTCGAGTGAAACTCGTTGCGAGAAACGATTCAAACCTCTCTGAATATCATCTCACACGACGTAATGTAATGCCCATCATTATTACAATTAAGAGACCCCTATTTTAATTTGACATCACACGCATTCTGCGAATTTTTACCTGGTCGCTCGTATGCAAATCTTTACGTAATACAAATAAATGTTATGTACATTTTTTTTTACGTAACTTGTCATTTCGCATAATTTATACTCTATGTTAAAATAATAGATTAATCGCGTCATCAAATATTATTGATTGTCGCGTATTAATCTATCGTAAATATATAAATATAATTTCATCGGGCAAAAGACTAAAGTTTACGGCAATTTATTATATCGCTGATATTGTGCGTAGTTTTTGAATATATTTCGAGAAGAAAAAAGTATAAGAAAAATTTTCTGAACTCGACCTTCGGGCTTACAATATTTGCCCATCGTTTTGCCGAACAAATATATATCTTTTATCTTTGCGATACCATAAGAGAACAAAAATTATGCCGAAACTACTCCGAGTTTGATATACTTATGAGGCTACACTGTAAAAAAATATGTAATATATTACACAAAAATATGTAAAATTACATAAATAATAAGTGTAAAATTACACGATAAATAATAGAAATGATTACATTTTCATTATTTATTATGTAATTTTATGTTTATTATTTATGTAATTTTACATATTTTTAATGTAATTTTACAAAATTTTTTTACAGTGTACGTAGATGTATTTATACTATCGATTACAAATAGAATGCGGAAGTTTATCAAGTGTTACACTGTGAAAATTGTTGTGCATGCTCGAAATGTTCGCGTATGCGAAAACTATTTCACCAACGACTAGTCCAGTAATAATAATAAAGAGGCAGACGGAAAGTTTTGTTTAAATGGAACGAGACGAATGCACGCGGAAACGATTTCGCGTCAACGCGCATCTCTTTCGTCGAGAAAAGCTCATCGTGAAATCTCACTAACTTCCGGGTCATATAATTACGAAATATATCGAGAAATTCAGAAACAATTATTCAACGAATATTTTTTTATTAAAACGCGAAATATTAAAAATAAGTCGAATAATACGAGAGATGAGAATTAAAGCATATATGTGTTTAAATAATAAATGAAATATATAAATAGTATAAAAAATATATGCCATATTGTTTTTCTTAAATAGAGTATGGCTTCGATATTGCACAGGTGTTTGCGTAAAACGCATGTCCGTGCAATAACGAATACATCGTATTTATTCAACTCTTCCTGTCCAATTCTGCGACTATATTAGCTGCAAGTCACGCTACTCTTCAAAGGATACATCGCTGAATTTCGTCACGATGCGGACACTTTAAATCACGCAAATCTAAATAAATCTGTTATTTTCGTCTACTATTTTCCAGTTCCTTGTAAAAACGGAAACAAAACCGTTTTAACTTTCTTCCACATTACGCAACAAACATTATTCATCTTCCGATCAACATTTATTCCATCTCTGTAGTAATAAATATCGTAGTTTTTTAAATCCTGATATTTTAGACATTTACAAAAAAAAATTTAATAAAAATCTGTTTGATAAATTTGTGGATCAGTTAATCTCTCGCAAGATATACAAAAAAAGAGAGCCGTGACATTTGATTTTTTTCTTAATTTATTGAATTATTCTCTTCTTTCAGTTTGAAAAATATTGAACACTTCTATTCTTTTCTGCGTCCTCGACATTTTTATGACATATCGAGGTATAATTAAATTTCAGAGATCACACAATGAGATTTATTTTAATATACTATCATCCATTGAATATAGTATTTTTTTTTTTATTTTTAAGTGTTATTATTAAATGTGGAAATAAATAAACAAAACAAAACAAAATTGTTCTAAATTATTTTTACTAATTTCCAAAAATATAAAATAATTTAATAATTAAATTTATATTCCTTTAAAATATATATATTTTTATGGTAATAATTTAGGATAAAAAGTGAAGACATTTATTTTAATATTTATTCATTGAATATAATACTTATTTTTTTTATTTGACTTTTATGTTACTCATAAATATGGAATTAATAATAAATAAAACAAGAAAAATTATTTTAAAATTAATTTCTTATTTTCAAAAAGTATATAGTAATTTAAATAATTTAAATGTATTATTTGTTTTTTTTTGTAATAATTTTAGATAAAAAACGAAGAGATTTATTTTAATCATTTTTTAAATAAAGAGATTCTTTTTTTAATTTAGCTGATCATTTATGAACATTGAGAAGTAAACAAAGAAAATGAGAGAGATGAAGTAGAAAAAACTTATTTTTAATTTCGAATATTATATGTATATTATAATATTTTTATTTATTTTATTTTATTTTATTTTTTATAGTTACGTTTCTTTTCAGCGATATTGTAGTTAATTTTGAATTTGTATTTAATCTTGTTTACCTATTGTAAAGTGCTGACTTTTATTTAGTCACTCTCGTATTTTTCTGTATACTATAGAGGGGTCTTTCCCGTTTATTTGAATTAATTAAATAAATATTTATGAAAAAAACGTGCTTTTTTCACGTAAATTTTTTGCAAATTTTTTGCAAGATTGTGACATCCGTCAAAGGTCAGCACATACATAAATAATACCATGTGTTAAAAATGACACGTGGTGGGGTCTTGTAGCGAAAAAGTCGACGACGGGGACGTCTCGCTTTCTATTACAAATTCACGTTAACTTCTCCCTATGTAGACCAGTTCTCTCCTGGTCGGCGAATCTCGCTGATCATTGCGCGCGCCGTCATTATTGTGCAAATCAAAAGGGAATATATTCGCAAACCAAACTCCGAATGTTAGTTTAGCGCAAACGGCATTTAACTAAAAAGCTCAACTAAAAAAAGACACAAATTTTCGATTTTTCCATTATTCCGTTAAAGAGGCGTTTATTTTCCCATTTGGTTCATCAAGGGAAGACCTCATCTCGCGACAAAGGGAGCGAAAAGCTCCGAAAATTGCGCGGAAACTGTGTTTCCTCGCGCCTCGAGATTGATTTCACGATCGGTATCGGTGTTTGACAGTTTGCAGTGCGATCGAAAATACACAAGAGCGACTTCGCGGAAGTTTACAAAGTGCTAAATGCACACCATGTCGCATCGGCTATTTGTTCTATGTATTATTGTTCTCTGGGCAAATTTCACGTTGCATCGTGCCTCCGCACAAATTGACATATCGAGGGACAATGAAATTAACAGCCGCACTCTGCCCGCATACGCGCTCGCTCTGAGATTCGATCTTCTCAACTCGACGAGATGCGGGAAGGAATTGCAGGACTTCCGGGACGCCATCGAGCAACGGATACTCTGGGGTTTGAAGAGTTAGTAAAATCCTTGACAATATAATAATCATCGAGGAGGAGCTAATTGCCAGAAGAACGCGATCGCTCGTATATTAAATCGAAGTTGATGAGAATCGCTCAACTGTCAAAATTCTGACATAATTAGAGTTAATTGAAATTATGGATCTATCTCGCGCCTTTTATTTGCGAGAAAAACGGAGAATTAAATTCCAATTGATGTTTTGTGTAATTATCATTGTGACGAATTATATCTATGCCACGAAACAAAAATTACTTCAGACATCTTCTCTATTTTATGAAACTGTTGATTTAAAAATCCTTTTTAAACACAGCATCATGTCCAAAATTGGCACATAAGACATCTTTAAGATGTCTTTTGGATATCATGTCATAAAATTTCTTAAACAATATGTCTTAAAGAATTTCTGGGAGTTAATACATACACATTAAAATAAAATTTCAGAGATTTTGCAAATTATAGACTTCGCAAATGATAAAAAATTTCGCGTAATAAATATAAATGATATATTCTCCTTCTCTCTCTCTCTATGTTCTTAAGTAGGATATGAACTGACCTATAAGTAAAGATATTACGATATTTAAACGAGCTAATTCGATAAAAATCGTCTATTACTTAATCATAATCAAGTCTGAATATGGCCTCAATTGGAGAATTTTCCGGTTATTAGAAGTGTACGAGCCGCATTCCAAAGGTAACTAGTTCAATCGTTATGTAACGCATTTTATAATACATATAAATCCATTATCGGCGCGATTATGTCAGGGCGCGCGATTTTTCATTAGAGCAACTCGCCGAATCAACTTTCTTCGTGCGTTACACAAGGAACATGTTTCCTAGTCACACGCGTGTGCCAGGGGAAAAGCATTCGTTACGCGCGTGCATACCGTACGATTTTCTCTCATTTCATTTCGAGGATCATGTATCTCCTAGTCAATTGAAACACGTGCGTATCTATTAATGTTCGAACATCGGTACATTAGCCGAGAGTGTACACACACTCTTTTCTAAATACACAAAGTTATATATCCGATAGACACGCTCCTTTTACGTGTGTCTGGAATATCTTTTAACACTGTCATTGCCTGCTCACGTGAGAAATATTCTAGGCGAAAGTTAGTATAAATAAATCATCGTAATTCGTCAAATACATCGTCGCCTAGCCGGTATTATTTTAGTTAATAATATTATTTCGTAATAATAAGTAAAGAGACGTGTACGTTGTTGTGTTAGAACAATTCCTTATTAATCATCATTTTCGTTTTGATTTTTTTAATTGCATCTCTTGAATGCATGTCTAAAGATGCAGCATAATGCTATTCCTTCGAGATTATATATATATATATAATTTTTTGATAATAAAGAGACGAGTACGTTGTTGTATTAGAACAATTCCTTATTAATCATCATTTTCGTTTTGATTTTTTTTAATTGCATCTCTTGAATGCATGTCTAAGGATGCAGAATAATGCTATTCCTTCGAGATTATATATATATATATATATATATATATATATATATATATAATTTTTTTATAATAAAGAGACGAGTACGTTGTTGTATTATAACAATTCCTTATTAATCATTTTCGTTTTGATTTTTTTTAATTGCATTTCTTGAATGCATGTCTAAGGATGCAAAATAATGCTATTCCTTCGAGATTATATATATATAATTTTTGATAATAATTATTCATAATTACTATCTTACATGGAACATAATTTTATGATACAGCAGAGAACAAATGACGAGTGTTTTTCTGGGAGGAAGTTTAAGGATGATTTATTTTTATTTTCAAGTGTTGGATTCTAGCGGCCGATTTCGATCGGGCTTCCTCTATGGAAATAATTTTTGGCTAGGCAGCCACAATCAGTGCTACGACACAATGAACAGAGATCCTCTAGTGCTTTTAGAAAAAGATTTATTGAATAATTCTTTATATCGTGATCCGCAAAAGGAGTTCCCGCCTTTCGAAGTGTCTTACTTCATGGCTTATTTCACACACAACAGTACTCTTCAATATCATGTGAATGTACCCAACGAAGTAAGTTTACAGATCTTTATTAGATGAGAGAGAAAAAAAAGAGAGATAGAAAGACTGGCTAGAAAACATATCAATTTATATATTAATTTATTGAAACCAGCGAGAGAGAATTTACTCAGATTTTTCAATTTTTATTTTATCGCCGAGTTGCAATAAAGTATTTCTCTATCTCTGTGGTTAGCCAATCCTAGATTTCTCGTTTCTTTCTTTACGTCTTTCTTGATTATAGGCGTAGCTTAATCAGCGCGAGAAAATTAAAGTAATTTAAGTTGTCGTTAACCAATATTGCTGCAAACGGGTTTCGCGCTGACAGTCTGAATACAACTTTAGTCTAATCTTTAAAATAAAGTAGTTTGTGGTAATACCACAAATCGTAAAAAGAGAAAGTTAGAAATAGTGCATTAAAATTAACATACTACTTATTAGTGGTAAACAAACTTGTCAAAATCATAACACACTGTAATTGTATATTCACACTTGTAATGTTTCCAAAGATTAGACAAATCTTTCTGTCGAACAAATAATGAGTCATATATATATATATATATATATATATATATATATATATATATATGTATGTATATACGTAGGTCCATCTTTGCAAGAAGAGATTAATTCTTAGAAACAAGGAATTATATATGCCGTATTTTTTCTTCTTCTAAATTAACATTCAAATTTTTACATATCTTTCTACAAACATTACGTTACGTTACTTTACGTAACATTATTTGTACAAAAATATAACGTAATATTAATAAAATAAATATCAATTAAACTTAGTAATTAATTATATAACAAACAATGGTGTATTTATAAAAATTAACAATATAAAAGTTTGAGTAACTTCTTTAAAAGCGAGAAAAAATGGTAATTTATATTAACAGATTTATATATAAATAAATTTCTTTTAGAAGATATATATAACATACAATATAAATGATGTAATAAAATAACTGGAAACATAAAAACTATAAATTAATAATAGATTTAGAATAAATTCTTCGTTGTTCAGTTTATATATCATTCACAATTTAAAGTTTTAATATAAAAATTTTAAAAATCTAGATTCTCTCTCTCTCTCTAATACAACATACACAAAATGTATATTAAGCCTACTATAAAAGAAATCTTTCTTTAGGATTTAATTACACTCGGTCTCTGTTTACCAGCATCTTGCTCTATTAGCGAACTAAGCTTCATTCTGGAAATGATGTTTCGCGATAGAGTTTTCTCAATTAATGATCTCTATTCCATGGATTTCAAGCTAGTCGAAGTTAAAGATGTAAAGAATGATTACCAATGGTTATTGAATGATGGGATGCTTATCTGGTACGTCAAAAATGCACAAAACTAGTAATTAACAAAATAAATATAATATATATTACGCTAATATATTACGATTATATAATAATGATATGGAGGCAAAATTTTATCTAGCTCTCAAAAAAGTTTAAAAGGTAATGACAAAGAAAAAAAAGAACAATTTATACTTTGCATACATACTTTGTGTATATACTAATTTTATGATTGCAGTATCGTTTTAGCACTTACTTTTTCCTTGATGATAATTGGAACGATATATGATATATTCGTATATCAAAAATATTTAAAAGCAAAGAATCAAATTAAAACTAGTGAGTATCACACATCCAAAAATTTCTTAATCTTTTTTTCAAGTCAATTAGTTTACATTATTTTAATAAAAGTTAGCAAAACATTTTTTTCGTGTATATATGTATCAATACATAATAAATATAAACAACTGTAACTTAATGGAAAAGAAGATAATTTTTTGATATTTCATTATTTAATTTAAGTATTGTGATTTTTCTATTAAATGTATATTAAACATTCCGAATTATGTACGATTTAGATGGCGAAAACATAACCGAGGAAATGGAAATGGCAGATTCGTCTTTGCATCAGGAAAATAGAATGATCGGAAAAGTGCTAGTATGTTTCTCCGTTTATGCAAATTCGAAAGCGATATTTAACACAAATGCGGATGAGGAAATGGGCGTTCTTCATGGCTTAAAATTTTTAAGCATGCTTTGGGTAATCATGGCTCACAGCATATTATACACGATGGATTATCTCGGCAAGTGATTTGAAGAAAATCAATAATGCAATTTTTCTTCTGTGCGTGAGTCTTCATTTTTTTATAACATATATTAACGAGAATTTTTCGTTGTTACATATTAGACAATAAAACGTGGGCTTGGAGAATCACTAAAGGCTGGGCAATTCAGATATTGAACAACGCAACCATCTCGGTCGACACATATTTCTTTATAAGCGGCTTCCTGGTGGCTTATTTATATCTGAAGAACGCAGCGAGCAAAGAACGAATCGAACCGATTAATTGCAAAGCGAAGATAAATGAGTTCTTTCTCTTCTCCACAAGAAGATTTATCCGGTATGTCTCCTTTCCCGTCTCGTTATCTTGCGATTTGCATGAATAGACAAAGACCATAAAATAAGCGAATTAGTGATGAGTCAAATAAGAGAACAAGGCACAATGACTTAAAATCATATTCAACATATGGATTAAATAATGTAAAGTTTATGTAATCTTTGTAAACCTTTACGTAATCTTAGTAAACCTGAAATGATTTATTTCAAGGCTGACACCGGCTTTCATGATGATGGTGGGAATACTGCAATTGAACTCGGGTTGGTACAACAAGACCTCGCAATTTTACATAGACGAGAGACCGCATGAAACTTGTGCGAAATATTGGTGGAGAAATCTCTTGTACATAAATAATATGTTCGATCGCAAAGAGTTGGTACGCAAAACATGATTTGATTAAAATCAATCTGACATTAAAATCGGAAAGATGACGAAAAAATCTTATATAAGCACAAATTATATCTCTTCTTGCAGTGTATGAGTTGGAGCTGGTACGTGGCTAATGATATGCAATTCTTTATAATCAATATAGCGCTACTGATTTTATCTACCATGTAAGCCAACCGATTGTTTAAACTGTATATGGCACGATCACACGATATATTTGAATAAATACGGCTTGCGAATTTTTTTCAGATACTTTTACACAGCTGCATTCATATTGGTCTCACTTTTAATAGGCTCGATTGTACTCAGCGGTTATATTTCATACATCCACGAATACGTTCCGATGTGAGAGAAATATTCTATTAATTATTTTTTTTTCATGAGACTAATTAATTAAATAAATGCTCTTTTTATTCTTACAGATTAAGCGAACAGTACAGACTTATAGATGTTTTGTACTATCCACCGTGGGTAAGAATAGGTCCATATATTATTGGAACTATTGCAGCTTACATTTTAACACGACTAAACAAAAGACTGACCTTTAAGAGGGTAAAGTATGATTTATATTACTTATGCAAATTTGACGTTAAAAAGTCAAATCATTGAAATAAAATAATATCTATACTCTGATAGAAAGAGAGAACTTATCAATGAGTCACTTTGAGTTACAAAAAGATACAAAGAAAAAAATTATGTTTAGCTCTAACTTAGCTCTTATATAATTACTCTCATTGCACAATAATATTTTACGTAAATTTCAGCCAACTTTAATTTTATGTTGGTGCCTCGGCAGCTCTTGCAACATTTTCGTATTATTCGGTCTTTATGAACGCAACATATCTATTTTGTCAGCTGCTATCTATGTTGCGTTAAGCAGGACAGTTTGGGCAATAGGTATAGCATGGATTGTCATAGTGTGCTCCACTAAACACGGAGGTTGGTTCATTTACTGATCAATTTTGTCAACAAATCTGCATACACAAAAGTTATCGTAATAGCATTCACTTGTGTTTAATTTCAATTTTAATCACGCTTCCAACGAGCGTTGTTAGAACAAATGACACGTAATTCAATTTAGAAAAATATTTTCTGATTACACCTAAAACGGTCCCTATTTACAGGTATCGTCAAGAAAGTGCTATCGTTCAAAGTCTGGATTCCTCTTAGCAGACTTACATATTGTGCTTACCTTTTGAATCCTTTCATCATACACTCGATTCGTCTGCACAACGAAACAACAGTTCATTTGGAGTATCTGTCCTTGGTAAATATATGTAAAAGTCTTAAAAAAAAAGTTTTTTTAAAGAACGTTCGTTATCAGCAAAGCTTATTATTTCAATTTTTTGTTTTCAGGCAACTATGTTTATGGGACAAGTTGTAATTAGCTACCTCTGCGCTTATGTGTTATCCTTAATGGCAGAAGCGCCGTTCATCATGCTATTGCGAATGCTAATACAATCTCGCAGCAAAAGGAAAAGTAGGGGGCACGAGATTGTAATTTCACGTACGAAATTGTGAGAAATACTATAATATCGTTAATCCGTAATTAGCGTAAGTAGTTGAATTAATGTTGCATCTCTTGGAAAATTACATTTCGGATAAAAAAATAAACTCGACTTTTTAAACCTGAGATATTATTCCGCTGTTTATGCGAAATCTCGATATATCGATGAATGGGATAAGGCCGGGTATATTAGTTTACATTGGTGTTTAAATTGCAATTGGAAGGAGCGTTGCACTTAACTTACGGTTGCGATGAATTCATTGAACTGCAGACAAATGCGCATACGAGTCTAGATTTATCTTTATCGAGTGTGGGCGTATTGTACATAGCATCCACAAGCGGAATCAGTCAAAATATCTTATACTGGCTCGAGTAGACCAAGAGTTTATAGCTCATTTACAAAACTACAAAGATTATCAGACGATCCAAGTTTCCAACGACGCTATGTGTGAACCGGGGAATGTATCCTGGGTGGCGCCGGCGAAGTTACAGACCGATTCGCTCTAGACGCCTGTTCACGCCTACCTTCCTCCAATTGTTTCTCGAGCTGCTCTTTCAAGACTAGAAGCTCCCTCGTTCTTTGATAGACCGGATCCTTAAGCAGAGACGAGTACGCGTGTTTCAAAGCTCCCGGGTTCTCGCCGCGATCGTGTTAAATTATGACGTCAGAGGCGAGAAAGCACGCGCTGAAATCTCTCAGATGCAATTTTTAAATGAAAAGATATTTCGATGTAAAACACTATTTCAGATGGCTTTAGCACACTTTTAAAACACCTCGAAAACTGTTCCTTTCCCTTGACAGTCAATCATTAAATCGTAAAATGATCGTAATATCGGACTTTGTGCAATTATTTTCACCGAATCCAATCTGTTTCACCGAAATATCTTTTTATTTTGAAATGGCATCTCAGAATTTTTAGCATGTATTTTCTTGCCTTTGATGTCACAATTCCAACACGATTGGCGAGGAGCTTTAACCAGGATATTTGCCTGATTCGTAAATCCTTTGTTGAAATAATCTCATATTTTAACATACCTGCTGTCGCATACTGGGGTTCCATCTGCAATAAAGACTCTTCCATGGTTTGATATACCGCATACTCGCGACTGGCATTAGGACAAGCTGATAATTCGTGCCAGAACGATAAAGCGGATTCAGGTAGAGAGGTAATTGACTGTTGGTATACGACCAGAGAGAGACTGTTCTTTGCTTCACTTGTTCGTGTATCCTTTCCCGTTCACTGTAAATGATGTTAATGAGATGTAATTCTCGAAAACATTGTAAGATAAAGCTATATAATATATAATATAATATATACCTGCTGAACAAGAATGTGCCGAATCGGCAAGAATAGAGATGATCGATTATAGTGATTAAGAAATGTTCGTTGAATTCGAAAGCGTTGGGGAATTGTCGCGTTATTTGCCATACGCAATCGATAAATTGTAGAAACACCGGCGATCTATCCGCATCGCTGTGATGTTCATCTCCGTGGCCTATCCTCTAAAAAAATTTTAATCATCATTAATTATAGACATGACAGTAATATAAGATACCGTAGAAATGTTTACAAATCATTGCCTTCTCCATAGAGAGACAACTTTAAAAGAGTTTGGTATCGTGATACCTGTTGAAATTTGTGCCCAAAACTAAGCCACTCCTTTTCTATTAGTACCTCGAATCCCTTGACCGTTCTATAATATGGATCTAACATTAACATTGCGAGAGCTGTAAGCTAAAAAAAGAAGTACAATATGTAATAAATGCAAATTTTTAAATAATAATGTTAAATATGTTAGAATTAAAGAGAATTTACCTGTGCTGTTCGATCCCAACCATCGGAACAGTGAACTAGAACAGAGGTCTTATGATTCTCGACTTTATCCACAATTCTCACAGCCCCAGCGAGAACACACTTGATATGTTTGAGCCACATTGTTGATTCTATGCCAGACAACCATCGAGCTTCATCGATTGTAGGGAAACATAATTCTAAAAATTTAGAACATACATATATATATGTATAAAAATAAAAACGTTAATATAGATAAGTTCTGATACCTTTTAACTTTCTGAGACTTTCCCTCATAACATGTATATTGTGAATATCGAGAAAGACCAATTCCGCGTTCTGATAAGCGTCTTCGCTCTCATATCCGCCGCCTTTCGCCTTATTCGCTATCGCGTTTGGCATCGGCCGCGCGTCCATGATGAAGAGTTTATGACTTTGTGCGTTGGCGTCCATTATCAGCTGGACGTACCTCTCGTCCTCGCGACTCCGTTTACCGCCGACGCCTACTAGTGGCTGTGCGCAACGAGTTATCGTCGCTTGGCTTTCCGGATGGATCCACGAGAGAACCGGCAATCTAAATCTACTTCTAAAAGAGGCGGATGCTTGAAGATCCTCGTCGGTCGCCGCAGCAGGCACTGCCCAGACAGCTGGATAACTGTCGCATAGCGAATACGTGTCGTTGATTTTGGATATCTTCCACATATCATTATTTACACCCTGAAATTCGAGGAAAAAATAAATAGACGAGTTGTTAATCAATGTTTGTCAAATTAAATGAATAATTTGTATTTACAAAACGTATGTACTTTTGAAGTAGCTTCAAATTTTAGATTGAGCATCACGTTTCTCGATATGTATTGTTACATACCATTCTTTTCAACTCTGCGATAGGCTCGTAAACATTCCAACCATTTTCAGAAAACGACTCGGAGTATTCAAAGGCAAACAAAGGTAACTTGTGAGATAATGGAAAGGAATACTGTTGTAGCTTCTCGAACACATCTCGTCTGGAATGATTCTCTTGCTTGTGTGCAAATCTGAGATTCCTCATGTCTTTACAAAATATTTCGATCCCGTAAGAATTTTCTCCTCTACTCGACGCACCGCCGACTTTTTCAATTCGGCTGACGACGCCCAACGGCACTTCAACAATGTAAGGCGTTTCTCGATCTATACTACGAAAATGGAGCTTGTAGTTTGTAACACTAAGAATCCCCCTGGCAGGTCCCGAATAAGGACACAAATATGTGACTTCGTGCGGAATTCCTTGCATTCGTTCTCCATTCAGGAGTGGTGGTCCCGTATCCCCTCCAGACAAATTCTAATCAGAATAACAAAATAATTTACTAATTACACAGACACGCAATGTAAGAGTAAGGATTTTCTAGCATAACTTCAACAGAATAAAATGATGACAAGTAAATATATCGTAAAGTAAAAGTGAAATAATAGGGAAATATTTTTTACACAACAGAACATATTACATTTTAACACAAATGCTCTTTTATCAATAGATATACAAATTAAAAATACTATAATTGCACAAAAGAGGAAAAAGAACGAAAACTGTATGCTGTGCTTTGAAATTCGCTATAAAACTCACTTTTACTTGATTATCTTTTTTAGCCTCTAGAGCAGAGACTATATTATTATCTGTTGAAGTAGAGCTTGAGGAAAAACTTTTTGAATGTGACGCTTTATCCCAACTCTCCTAAAGAAATTGCAGATCCATTTCAAAGTTCAATAAATAGAGTGATGTATATATTATTTGTCTTAATTTTTAGTCACTATTAACAATCTCATTCATACCGATTCTTGGCCCATTTTCGAATTAAGCGAACTGCTCTTGCTGTCTGAGTTGAGGGAATCTGAACTGGCATTCTTCGAGTTACTTTGCTCCGCACTAAGAAGCTCTGCACTGCCCCTCTTTTCCATACTTGTATCAAAGGTAGCTCCAAATTTTTCTACTTTCGTTGCAACGACATTCTTGTATTTGTAGTTTTATTCACTATTAATCCGTAGGATTAGTACAGTCTATTTGCACCTGTACATAATAAATTATATTTTGAAATATGGTGAAAATAAACCATTAATAATAAACTTCTTCCGAGTAATTTCAAAAATTAAATTAATCAAAATAACAACGACACTGTCCAAATATTAAATATTATTAAATCGAGCAGAGAATTTACTTGTCGAGTGAAATTAAATTCAACAAAATAACAACGACACACTGTCTGAATATTAAATATTATTAAATCGGACAAAGAATTTACTTGTCAAGTCCAAGCACAAATAAATAAAATAAAAAACATAAGCCGTGGAAGCGGTTCTCTACGTGTCGAGAATTTAAACTTCCGCGAGACATAACCTGACAAGGTTCGCGAAATAATATAACGAATAAAACAACGTCGAGGGAGGATGATTTCGAGCGTTACATTAACGAGATTACATTAAAATACGTCGCGAGTTACATAGAAAATTTACGGGCAACGAAAAAATTTGAAGGAACGATTCGAGAGACCGGAATCGTGTCGTGCCACGCCCGGAATGGAATTCACTTTTATCGTTCATCGAGACATGCGGAAGTCTCGGTCGCTTCGATCTCTAAAGAAACAAATCGAATACGAACCTGTCTAACGCGTACTTTATATAATACTCATATCTTAGGACCGTCCGTCCCTCCTGTCAGCGCAACAGTGTACTTTTGACAGACGCCGCCATCTTGCAAATAATCGCTGACAGGTGACGCTGCTCTCGATCCTCGATTTATCGATCTCTCGATTCTCGATTTCTCGACGTCACGTGATCGCGTGAAATTGTTCGGAGGAAAATACGCGAGTAGCAACGCGAGTATCCAGAAATTCTTTTTTGAGGATCGTGCAACAGCTGATTGAAACATTTCGCGAGGTAAGTAAACATTTTTTTTCTCCGCAAACGCGGGTTCTATATTAAGGTAAGACTGAAAAATTATAGAATTCCGATCATTTCACGTGAGATATACACTCTCGTTGGACGAAGAGGTTTGTTTTACTAAATAACGATCTGGACCTAATGTATAAGTCACCGTAAATATAAACAAAAATATGTTTTATTTAAATTGGAAGCTCATGATTTAATGAGCTCCAGATTTATGAACGAAAAATCGCTCCAAGATATATATATATATATATATATATATATATATATATATATATATGTAATGAAATAATAAATTTTACAATCATATCGATATGCTTTAAAGTTGACACAATTCTTTTTTTCTGATACAAATTCGCAACACAATCATTTTAGAAAGAGACCGATTTATTAAAAGTTGCGAAGAAAACATCTTCATGGACAAATAATTCTTCGTTAAGAAATCGCTCGATAAGCGGCCTCGATAAATGCATTTCTCGGCAAATTTCGATAACAAATTCATTTCAACGTGACGTCATAATGTATAATGAGTCAATTCGTTTTGATTTGAGAAAAAGAAAAAATCCCACACAATACAGGCACGTGCTCGCCTCTATCATCCTTTGGCGAAATGCGATTACATCCGTATCGTACGGGTTCCGGGATGCCTAAATCTTATTAAGTGTCAAATCGGATTACACGCCGGACTCTGTTCGCTGCTCTTGTTATTCGCTCTGATGGACGTCACAACTTCGCGTGAGTGCCGAACGACTTGTGAACGGATCGATGAGTATTAAATTCATTGTCTGAAGTCTTTAAGGTGCTTCGAAAAAAATAATATTTTAATAAAGCAAGGTCCTCTTCTATGTAACGAAACGTGGAAAAAACCAATTCAGAGAATTGCATTTAAAATATTTCGGTCATATATAAATGTATCAAATTATATTCATAAGCGTGTTCAATTAAAATTTATTCTTATCGTTGAAATACATTTTATACTTTTTGAAAAAAAATTATAAGAAACATTGCTGATAAAGTATTATTAATTATGCAATTGGGATTAAATTTTTAATAATAGAGAGATAATAGAACTTTCTATTATTTAAAATTTGAATCAAAAGAAAGAAAATTTTAAATACCTTGGTCATATATAAATGTATCAAATTATATTCACATAAGCCTGTTCAATTAAAATTTATTCTTCCCGATTATTAAAATATCTTTGAAATAAATTTTATACTTTTTGCAAAAAAAAGTTATAAGGAACATTACTGATAAAGTATTATTAATTACGCAATTGGGATTAAATTTTTAATAATAGATAGCTAATAAAACTATTATTTAAAATTTAAACCAAAAGAAAAAAATGGTTTAATATCTCGGTCATGTACAAAATATATCTGTCAAATTATATTCATAAATCTTTTTAATTAAAATTTATTCTTCTCGATTATTAGAATATCTTTAAAATAAATTTTATACTTTTTGTAAAAAAAGTTATAAGAAACATTGCTGATAAAATATTATTAATTATGCAATTGGAATTAAATTTTCAATAATAGCTATAGATAGATAATAGAATCTCTATTATTTAAAATTTGAACCAAAAGAAAAATGTAGTCTAAAGCTTATCGTTAAGAGAAACTTTTAAAGAATTTGAAGCAATTTCTACACAAAATTGTAAAAGATATACATGACACGACCTATATCAAGGAGAAATATATTTCAGTTGATTTCCTAGGTAGACTTAGGTAGGCAAACACGCTCAATGCAAAGAGCGATAAATTGTAGCTGTGACAATTGCAATCGTTATAAATCTTGCATCTTTCACGCACGGTTGCAACATACTGTTATTAATTACATCGTCAGCGCTGGCAGTAGCTAGATATATAGGTAATAATCTAACTGCGAAGTTTGTTGAACAATCACGTGTGTTGTACACTCGGATTGCGACGAATTTGCGACGACGGAGTTGCAACTTCCTTTCCAGCCGTTTGAGTTATTCACCTGCAAAGCCTGGCAATAAACATGAAAGAGACCGCAATATTGTGTAACGCACGTATAGGGAGAAATTGTGAATTTATTTGTAAAAAAGGAGGATTGTTCGACAGAACAAAAAAAGTATAAGATCGACAGTTCGAGAGTGATGCAGCGAGTTTTGATTATGTGTATATATCCCATATGTGTATATAGAGCGCGTAACATGAAATATAAAACTCTCATCATCAACTATATTATATATAGTTAACTTTAAACATGGTCAACATATAAATATACAGTCATCACATTAAGTTAAACGTATCCATACAATATACGTACAGCGAATCTATACACAGCGTATAATTATAAGAATCTTTTAATTTCGACATCCTCTTTTGTTGTTCATTTCTTTTTTTTAGATGCATTTATGTACCTTTATACACTCACATGCATTCTTACATACATACTCACATACATTCGCATATACATATATATACTCTCGTCGTGTATAGTATACATGTATTATACAAAAACGCTGGTCGCGTGTCTTCCACCCGTGAAATAATCACGTGAGTATGTGGAGACGCTACCGGTTAGAAAAAGAGGAAATCAGAAACGGAACAGACGAATAAGATGTATCGCGTATGCATAATATACGCACATTCTGAGTCCTCGCGTATCACGAGAGAAGAACAAAGTACTATTTCGTAGGAGGCCCCTTTCGTTTACACATTCCGCACATTCGGCTCGCGTGTAAGATTTTGGCACTTGTAGCGAAGAATAATTTCATCTGCTGCGCGCGAAACAGCACTTTTATTCCCTCTCGTTCTTCCTCTTTCTCGGATGATACTCCGCTCGGATGACGTAGGCCAGCCATCGATGCTTCCTGGGAGAGTCCTCGTAGAAATCGTTACCGAGAAAAAGATTCAAAGCGCGAAAAGCTTTAAGGAACACAGAATAGTACGACTCGCATTCTCTCATTATCCTCAGTTCTTAGTCTTTCCTTCTTCATCCTCTTTCCCACTTCTTCTTCTTCCATCAGTCACCACTCGGAGGAAGCGTCTCTTCGTCTCTCTTCAAGGACGTCCTCACGGACGTCCGGGGTCCCCGTCTCTCGACTCTCAGCCGCAGAGCTCAGTCTTTCTTATCTCGCCGATCGCTGCTCCCATCCCGGTCACGTCATCTGCGCGGCGTTGAAGCCCCGTCTTCTCGCGGGCGCGGCAAAGTGTTGGGAATTCGCGGCGATCTGAAAGTGCTGAACGTACGGATTGTTCCTGAGGACGTTTCCGCCGGCCGAGCCGGCCGAGTATTGGGGCACGGCGATTATACCGGTCTGTTGCAGATACTGCTCGCGATAGAGCGCCTGTTGCGTCACGTACTCCCCATTCACCGGGTTCTGCCCGACGTAGTGGAGCTTCTTCGACTGCTGCTGCTGCTCGCTCACGACCGAGCACTCCTTACCGTAGGCATCCTGAACGTATCGCGAGCCGATCGGCGACGAGCATCCAGGCGGTGTCGCCGTCTTCACGCTCTGCGTCGGGCTCTGGGTGATGGATTCCAGGACGTGTCGCGGCATATTCGGCGACGGACAGAAGTGACCCATGTCCTGCAGACCGTCCACCCGATTCGCGTTACGCACGAAGATCGGAGCGCTTTCCGGTCTACCGCCCACGATGTTCCTCATGCCCTCGCGGTCCTTGGCGCTCAGACTCTGCCGGGGACTGTTCAGCGCGGACGCCCGACTCTTCTGGTTAGACGGTAAAGACGTACCGTCCAGCTCGGAGACGCTGGACCAGGTCACGCTGGCCAGCTCCCAGCGCCGAAGCAGATTGGACACTCGCTCCGCTCGATTCACCGTGTCGAGGCTCTCGTCGTAATCCGGACCCTGCAAGGAGAGAATTTTTCTCGTTAGATTTTTTACCGTCAAATTTTCACTACAAATTTTATCATGCTTGGCGATAAGCCGAAAATTACCATGTTTCGTTTTCAAATTTATATGTATAAAATATTTTGTTTATCACCTTTTTTGCATCTATTCTATTTAAAATATTTAAAAAATTGTAATGTTTTTAATATATTTTTGGTACATAGAGAGAATTTTCTTTTAGAATTTACCCTGAAAATTGTAGTAATCGTGGAACAATATAGTATTGAAAGAATTTTATAAGAATTTCTCTGATTTATCATAATAAAAAATATTAATATATGTATATAGTAAAATTAATCGATTTTAAAATGAATCATATTTTATATTATCTTATTATGGCAGATATTAATATTTTTATTGCGATTAGGTTGTGGTAAATATTAATCAGAAAGAAACTCTTATAAAATTCTTCCAATATTGTTCGATTATCATGATTTTTAGGGTAAATTCTAAGAGAAAATTCTCCGCGTATAAATTTTTTCGTGCTTGGCATGCCGAAAATTACCATGCTGCATTTTAAAATTGATATGTATGAAATATTTTATATGTATCTCTTTTTTGCATATATTCTATTTAAAACATTCAAAGAATTCAAATGTTTTTAACATTTTAATATATTTTAAAATTATTGAAGTTTTATTATATATTTTATGTGATAAACAGATATGTACACAGAGAGAATTTTCTCTTAAAAACCCTGAAAATCATGATAATCGGATAATGTATGGTATTGGGGAAGAGTTTTATAAGAGTTTCTCTAATTAATATATTAATTATTAGAGAGAATAATATATTTATTATTCTCTAATATATTTATTATTCTCCAATCATACATATATTAACTAACTCTATTGTTCCACACAATTACCATGATTTTCAGGCTAAATTCTAAGAGAAAATTCCCTCCGTGTGAAATTGGACAAAGAGCTTGTAGAGAAGGAGAAAGATTGGGAATCAAAGAGGGAGAATTGACGTTTTACCAGATGATTGACGGTATATTTTAGTATTTGCCGAGGAAGAAAATAGGCCGAAGTGCGCACGAAGAGTCTAAGAAGCATACATATATATTGCTTATACAGTCTCTAATTAAACTTCTTCGAAAAGGATGAAAGGCTCGCGATGAATAGTGGCTCAACTTTTTTCATCAACTACGTGTATAATTTTAGCGAGCGCTAATTCACGATCGAGTGCTCCCGATTAAACTTCCATCACGTGCATCACGTCAACGCTGCGCCGAAAAGATATCCGTGCTAATAATTACGCGGAACTTCCTATCCGTTCTCCGGCTGCGCTTTAAATCTCTCTCTTTCTCGATACACGTATATCTTCGGTACGACTTTTTTGATTAAAAACTTCCGGCTTATTCGGCTAGTTTATTGCAAATTGTTTTCGCGATGAAAAAAGAGCTCGAGTGAAAAGCTCATCGATCCGGCGTGGCTTATAAAAGATTCTTTGCACAAAAGCGACAAAGAAGACAGTAATCTATACCCGATGTGTGTGAATCTCGAACAAAAATAGACGCGAGAAGCGCAAAACAATCAATAAAAAAACAATAAAGATTTCAAGAAAAAGAAATATTCACGATCAATTGCGCAAAGTCGAGTATAGATATTCGAGGTCATACGCTACATTAATTGTGTCAATTCAAATAAATGTAGGTATTGATGCGACATTTTTTTTCACGAAATTAGCATATTTTTTTGCAAATAGTCAGGCCTAATTGAAGCACGCTTCAGCAAATTTTCAAAGTTCTGAATAACCGAGTACGATGAATAATTTATTTTAACGCGACGATTGTTTAATGTTTTCGCGCTTATCGATTCCATATTTGCAGTTGAAATAAATTAAATTATGTAATAAATTATTGAATAGAAGCACAATTTTGTTCAATTCAATTAGCATCGCATTTTTTCAAAATGTCGAGCTTAAAATTTCTCGATATTCTCGGTATTGTTATAATTATATGAATTATACGCGCGGGTATATCTAATATATTTTATATTTAGCATTTTTTATTGAATAACGATACGGAAATAAAAAAGTAGCAACGGATGTGTTCTTCTATACGAGACGTATATAATATCGTGGAGATAATAATCTCTAGATTTTCTGCAAAATCGGCTTGTATTGTTCTTCGAAAGAAGAGATTGAAGAAGGAAACAGGAAATTACCAGCGTTCCCATAAATAGAAACCATTTCTTTCCGGATAGATGACTGATTAAGGTAAAATATCGCGACTTACGTTCTCAATTTTCTCATCGAGCATCTTGAAGAAATCTAGCTGGCTGGTGGATATCTCTCTGAAAAATTCATGATACGCAGGAAGGTCAATCACGTGCGATAAATTATTTCCAACAAGTATAATCTCGTCAATAATAAGCTATACATAGAGGCTAGTTATCGCGAATACGTGTCAGAAGTAAATTTTATATGAAGAGGTTACAGGAAAAAACTAAGAATGAAACACTTTTTTTCAAGATTAAAGAATGCTTATTTTTTTATTCTATGTTTCGATGTCTTTTGCAATGTTTAATTTTAACAAAAACCAATTATGCATCTATTTGCTCGGATAAAAATTTTACACAATGTTAAAGAGTATACTAGTTTAGGATTCACTGGGTTCCTGTAATTCTTTTAATAAATTACTCATTACGTATACGCTTGGCGTGAAAGCTAAACTGCAATAATTAACGCGATTGCTCAAGCTTTTTGCAGGAAAAACGTCAGTTTAGAATATCAACATATATAACTTTTGATGCATGTTGTTTTGACAACTGTCACTATATATATATATATATATATATATATATATATATATATATATATATAAACTAATATTACGTAACAACTATACTTTAGTAGACGGTTATATATTTCTAGCAGTTTCTAACGAAGACTTTGCATTGCAAAAAGTTGAAAGAAGAATATATATGTATATATTAATACTGTAATGCTCTTTTGACAAAGCTTTCGAAACTCGAATTACGCACGCGCACTCTCAAAATAAGCTTTCCGCGTGCAAATATCTAGTTACGCAAGTTTCTATGCAAGTTTGTGCAGCAAATGTTTGTACAGTTCTATTAATTATAGTGAATGGCATAAACTTCGGTGTACACTAATGTCAATTCATCTGAATTAAGTGCTATTCCACACGAAGCTCTCAATATCGCGTCCCACTTGGTGCACAAATCAAAATATAAATTCTATTAATACTTTTTGCCAAGAGAGAGTCAAATCGTATAAACTCCAATAAAAACAAATCTTAATATATTATTTTTAGGGAGATAATTTTCTCTTAGATTTATCCTGAAAATTATGGTAATCAAGAATTTTATGAGTTTCTCTGATTAATATTTACCACAGTAAAAAATATTAATATGTACATAATGAAATTAATCGAACATATTTGATATTTTATCGGTAGATATTAATATTTTTATTGTGCTGTAAATATTAATTCGAAAAACTCTTAAATAAATGCTTTCATATTATTTCACGATTATCATGATTTTCAGAGAAAATTAAATTCTAAGAAAAAATTCTCTCCGTGTAAATATAAAAAACAATTTTCTCGAAACAATTAATCAAGGAAAAAGAACCGAGAGAGATCTACTACGTCTTCCGACGTATATATCTTCGAGTTTCTCGATTTTACGTTAAATGTAACCCCCAAAGGTTATCCTTTAATTATCCTTACGCCTGTTGTAACAGAGGTCCGCCCCCAGGTGCGGTTGGTTTCTTCTTTGCTTGTCCCTTGGCATCAACGCCATTTTGGTCTTCGTTTCTGTTCACCTCGACACCGTTGTTGTTCGTCTTGTTGCCCTTGACGTTGCCATTTCCGTTCTTCTGCTCCACAGACGACGCGTTACCTGTAAAACACGAAGGGGAAAAAAAAATGTCAGAGAGACGGCGAGACGAAAAGGAAAACACGCTATTTAAGATTACCATCATATCCGAGAGATTAAGGACCGTAAATATCTCCGCACTTGGATATATAATGTCCTTCCGAGTCTCGCGACAAGTCCTTCGTTCGGTCCTTACACGTTCAACAACATCCAGCCGAGCAATTTCGCCCGACATATTTTTATCGCGTAGATCGCGACGACGGTAAAATGTGACATAACGTTGGAAAAATTATGGACCTTAACGCGACACATTATTGTACGGCGCTTTGTCACGCGAGCAATTCTCAAGGAGGTCGCCAATTCTTTTATTAAGGCGCGAGTAAACAGCGAGAGATTACGGCCGTCTGTATAATGATACGTGTGTAAAAACCGGCGTACATATCATTAAACAACAATTTATTATTACGAACTCTTGTTTTCATACTTTTCTCTTACAGGCAATTGAAAATTGGGGATGCTTTGGGGTGTATATAGGGATATATTTTCTGATTCGAGAATATTATATATGTATATATATATATATATAATATTTAAAAATGATAGAAAGTTTTTATATTTAATATAATATATAATATTTTAATATAATATATATTAAAATATGAAAATATAAAAATATATATTATATTAAAATATGAAAATATAAATACATTTTATTTTTTGCTAACAGTCTCAAGTAAGTCATTCTCCGTGTGATAAGGATCGTGTGTTTTCGTAATCTCCTATTACAAAATTACCGTTGAATTTCTCGCGTAATCACAAGCCTTATTCTTAGCTTCCTCTCGCATTACTATGTACGTTATCGGTGTGAAAAATATTTCGCTGAGTAAAAAAAACGCGTGAATAAAAAAAAAACATGTAAGAGGAAGAAGAATGAAGGAACGGAGGCAAAGTTCAGCCGTACACGATCTCATAAACACGTTCGATCGGCGACAAACGAGCAGCTTGACACTTAAAAGGATCCCGTCAGCCAGCCACCACCGTCGTTCATCAGCAAGTGCGAGAGTATATAGCATCGCAAACCGAAATAGACCTGTCGTTTAGCTTAGCGAGAGAACGAACCGCGGTTTAGGGAGTTAACTAAAAATAAATTGCGCCGGCGCGCGTGTTGGAAATAGAGTAACACGAGCGTACAATTTTCGAGCGATCGAATCGACTGCGTTCCTGAAATAGGGGGATAAGCGCGAAGCATCTGGAGCGACGAGGATAATTGTATCATCGCCAGTCTAGAATTAAAATCAGTTACGCGGATTGGCGTATAGATGGACGGGTGAAAGATGCGAAATGCGCGATCGGGAGCGTGCCGAGGTGCCACAGGTGTCTGACATACGAAATTCAATATTTTATTTGAAACGAGGAAGAGAGACACACACACACACACACACACACATACACACGAGTCGGGATTCGGCACAGGTATATGGCCGCGGGCCAGACATAAAGTGAAGAGGCCTGGATCACCTGTGGCACTCGGCCAATTGATTAAAAATTGCAAGTCAGAGATACTAGCCAAGTGTGCGCCAAAACTATTCTCAGTTGAAACGAGAAAGATATATGCATATCAATTCTCGTCTCCGCGAACGTTAATTAATTTCAAACCGCAATTTAATTATTCTGCGCTGAAGTTATATATCAAGTTATATATAATTACCAAAGTTATATTATAGATCATATTTTTTAAGTATAATATTATATACATATATGCATATCATTTAAAAATGACACACAGCGAGAGAGTTTCATATTTTATATATAATAATATTATATTATAAAATATATTATGTAATATATTAATTAATATATTACATCGTATAATGTGATAAATTAATTATTATGTAATTAATTATATAATGAAATTTATTACATTATATTATAAAATATGAAAATACATAAAAATATATAATATATTAAATATAAAATGTTCTGAGTATATATTATAAATATATATTTGAAATTATATACAATATACTATATATATATAATATTATTTATATTTATATTATATTAAAATATGAAACTCTCGCTGTCATTTTTAAATGCTATTCTGAAACTAAAATGCATCACGCGTCTTTTATCGTTCGCCAAATTAAATCTATTGCGCAGGACGAGGCAGTTATTTTGTCATTTTTATCTCGCGGATAAAGATATCGCATAATCATATACTTTGGTGATCGTATGCGTGGGAGACAATATATACTTTCGCTCGCGCGATCTGCGAGCGATTTCATGCGCTGGAGCAAATTTAAAAAGTTTTTAACAGCTGCCGACTGGTCAGCATATCCTGGTTAAGTCTCCGGTCTCGACTAAAGAAATTATTCTGTAATTTATATGTGCACACGCGCGCGCGCATGTTGCAACCTTTTGTTGCAAATCGAATTAGAGCGTGCTTTAACTCGAAGCGACGCGAAAAATGCTATCGCGAACCACGATAATCGAGACGCCCACATTGTCTCCTATATTGAAACGCACTTAATTTCTGTGGAAAATACAGCGTAATTGGGAGAGTGCATTGTTCTCTCGACCAATGAATTTAATACTCCTACAAAGAGCGCTATCGCTAATTACGATTGATGGCTCAGGATCGAGTAATTATTTATTTTGCAACATGTAATAATAAAAAATTTCGTCGTACAATTTACAATCCTATATGCAACTCTTCTGTCAAGTTGACCCCCATTCTTTTAAATTGAAAAAAATAAGTAGAGTTCTGACAATGAGTGTCCCCGAAGAGTTCTTAATCAATTTAAGAAAGAGTTCTGTTATTTAAAGTAACAAAAATACCTTTTGAATAATCGAGGGGCTAACTTCACGATCCCTCCCATTCTATGAAAAATTTAATTTTTAAACAGAACTATTTGTGAAACTTATCTAGAACTCTAAAACTATTTGAAATCCTCTCAGAACTCTACAAAAAAATTAAGTTTTCATAGAATGGAGGGCGTCGTGAAATTAGTCCCCCGATTTTTCAAATCGTATTTTTGTTGCTTTAAATAACAGAACTCTTTCTTAAATTGACTAAGAACTCAAACTCTTCGGAGAGCACTCAGAGAACTTTACTTATTTTTTGCTACTTAATAAAATTGGGGGGCTAACGTCACAAAGATGTATGCAACGTTGAAATATAGCCAAATCTTTAATCGAGAAATAATATATTGTAAATAAAACGAATATACGATAAGATTAAAGTCGCGGCGCTTATCCGCCACGTAACTCTAGAATGTCGAGCGAACTCGATCCCCGATAACGATCTCTCTTTACGACGATGACACTCCGGCGCGATATATCGCCGCCGCACGCAAGTAGCAGTCCTCCATTCATTGGCACGCGAAGCCACGGCAAAAGGAGAATGAACTCGCATCACAATGAAACACAAATAACTCTCTCTCTCTCTCTCTGTTCGGAAGGCGCGCGCGAATGACAAGATGTGTCGTCTAGAGAGACCCACGTGCGCGCGAAGTCGTTTAGGTGCAATAATAAAAGCAAGGACACGAGATAGCTGTCATCTCGAATTACGATTATCCCACACAGGGCGAAATCCACGCCTCGTTGTGGTAGTCTCATATATACGTCCGGTGTCCAGGTTTTTTGAGAAGAAATAAAGAACAAATCTGAAAATTTTAGGACTTTGTTTCAATATGTTTCTAAATTAATTTGCGGTCAAAGCGGAGACTGACGAGCAAAAGAAAATAATTCTGCGACTATCAGAAGTCTACACAGAGAGAACTTTCTCTTAAAATTTACCTTGAAAATCATGGTAATCGTGGGACAATATGGTATTAGAATTTTATAAGAATTTTTCTGATTAATATTAATATCTATCACAATAAGATATCTAATATGTGCGATTAATTTTATTATGTACATATTAATATTTTTTATTGTGGTAAATATCAATCACAGAGAAACTCATGAAATTCTTCCAACGTCATATTGTTCTACGATTACCATGGTTCTACGATTACCAACGATTTTTAATGTAAATTCTAAGAGAGTATTCTTTCCGTGTATGTACTGTTATAGTTTGAAATTGATTCGACTATGTTGAAACAAATCCTTGATTTCTTAGATTCCGGACAAGAAATTCCGTTGTTTTCGTACAAATTCTCAAATTAATATTACGACATTAAACATTAAAACGTTGAATACAAAATAAAGAACAAATTGAATTTTGGAAAAATCGAAAAGATAACTACTTGAAATAAAAGAACTGTCCTCTAAAATAAAAACCACCGTATATATACGAAGTGTTCTTACATGACGAGAAAGTCGCTCGTTAGCGAAAAATTTCATCGAACATGATTAATTAAATCTTTTCTGATAATTAACATCTTTTCTCGATCGTACACATCTGAGATTGCGCGATATACTGTTAAATTAATTAACATTTTTAATCGAAAGAATAAGAGTCTATCATATTTTATAGTGAAGAAACGTAAATGTAGTTTGTGTGCTAAAAAAATTAGATTAATTTTCACCGATTTTCGATGAAAATTTACCAACAGACTTCGAAGACACCCCGTATGTATAGATATCATAAAATGCAGCGCGACGTAACAGATGCGTGTGTCAAAGTAACGTAATGCAACAACCACGTCGTTGCATCGCGCGACGGAACGGAGATATTTTTAACGATACACTCGCACCCACGGGGTTATATTGCGTTTCGCGTATCAGTTGATAACGTATAACCGTGGATGCGGCGATGCCGGAAGAGAGAATCTCGCGTATTCGCAACGCAGTCGTAAATAAACCGATTCGTGCAAGGAAATACGTCTTTCTGGAATTTCAATGAAGAGAGAGTGGGTGAATAGTTTAATTAAAAAGTACCGCTTTCCCTGCCTGCGAGCATTAGATAATGGAATATATAATTAGTTTGTTGCTAATACGAAATCTTTTATTATATCTGCAACGTTTTTAAAATATTTTAAATGTACAATTCTATAAAAAATAAAAGAGAAACATATCGA